AAAAAAAAAAAAAAAAAAAAAAAAAAAAAAAAAAAAAAAACATCATAGTAAAATTAATACCTTCTCAGCTTCGCATCGAAGCTAAAAAATGGTAGAACAGCGGGGTCGCGGCACAGTATGGACGTGGCATAGATGGAACAAGTATAGATGATATCTGACAGTGATTAAAATCACTATAAAAAAAAACGCTTCGATACAAATCTTTAGATACTGTTTAATTTTAAAAAATTAGTAGATTATTTCAAAAGCAACAATAACTCTTATTCTCTTAATTTTATAACGATTAGTTATTTGATTTATAATTATAATATATGAATAAATAATAATTATAGAAATTAAATTTAGTATTAAATTGATATTCAATAATTTAATATTGTAATTTTTACAGAGATATTATAAAAATAATAAAATAGTTGTATATTTTTTTACTTTTAACGTGTATAAAAATTTAAAGGGCTTGATGCAATACTTTTCAATAAAAATTGTTTGTTACTTATAACAAAGTTATAAGTTTTATACACTGGACTACAAGGAATTTTCATCAGAAACAAAAATATAGTTTTCTAAATAAACTTTTCGCGATGTTTTCAAATGTACAATTAGACTTTTTCTATCACTTCTAAATTTTCATATTATTAGTTATTATTAAAAAATAAGTATTTACATATAAGAAAATAATTAAAAACAGTAATAAATTGTACTAAATTAATACTGATTTTGATTATTAATATGTTAAAAATAAGGAAAATGACATATTTAACCTATTTTTTTAATCCTTTAAAGTTGATTATTGTGAAAGTTTATAGTAAAAAAAAATTTATTTATTCCATAACTTTTAGCTCAATTTTCAAGTTTGAAATTGACATCATTAAACAGGAAATTTTGTGAGAAATAAAAAAATTGTATCGTTAAGATTAATATGCAGTCAGCAAATTTTATAATTACTGTTTATAGTAAATGCATCAGAAATGCTCAATATATTTTTTCATTTTTATCGTAAAAGATAACTGAAATAGAAATATTAATAATCATTTTCTAGTAACTTTTTGTATTTGCATACTGTATTTTTAGTTTAATTATTAACCTAATTGTTCTTATAGCAAAGCCTACACTAAAAGAAAAGGGCACCGCCCGATAGACGGAGCCGGTCCCAAACGTGCCGGATATCGGAATTCTACAGTACTATAAATCTGTCACTTTTCCTAACTACATCTACTACTTTTCTTTTCATCTCATTATATGTAACTAACCTGACACCATTCTTCGTACAATACTTACCTGAGTATATTATTTTATAACTCTCAACTATTTCCCTTTCTTTGACTGATGAAACAGCTACCGCACTATTTGTCCGGCTGGTATCAAATACTTTATTCTTTAGGCCTTTTCATTTTTTAACTACTTTATTTCCTCTCACCTGTTGTCCCCGCGTACATCCGAGATGGGACAATCCGCCTAAATTTTGTTCAGGACCCCCATATTTTTTGACAAAAATTTTACGTCGGCTGTCAACCTGACACAACTTCATTAGTCACCTCTTAATTCTGGCAAATGAGCTGTAGAAGTATTCTTATCCTTTATCCACAGAGACAAATATTTTATATCTCTATGGCTTGTTAATATTTCTGTATTTCTTTGGCTTCTTAATGTTTTTATATCTCTGTAGTTTCTTAGTGTTTTTCCATTTTTATGGTTTCTTAATATTTTTGTATTTCTTTGACTTCTTAGTGTTTTACATTTTTTTGGCTTGTTAATATTTTTATATTTCTATGGCTTCTTAATGTTTTTGCATTTATAAACGACATTAAATATTTTATAATTTGTTGCTAAGTTAGATAATATAATTATAAATTTTTATTTTTTAATTTTTTATTTTCTTATATTTTCAACTAACCATATATAGGGTATTTAATAAATAAGGAAACATCAGAAAAGAGTTTCTATTGTTCTCATTGTTTGTAACAATTGACCTATTTTTTTGGCTATATAAAATATTAATTTTAGCTTTTAGAAAATTTCTAACATCATATTTAATATAATTCAATAACCTATTAAAGATAGCATGATTTAAAATATGTATAAAACTCAATTCAAAATTCTCATTGTAGTCTAGTACACGATGTTAATTAGACAATAAAAAAAAAAAAGCTTTAAAACTAATACCAATATTTTGACTGGCATTTTATACCTATACAATTTTTATCTAAAAATTGTTTTAAGTATTTACTATATAAATTGAAAAAAACATGTTACACAGACTAATTTAAAACATTATTATGTAATTTACACGAATTGACATGAATTGTAGAAGTAAACAAAACAAGTGTTTTTAAAGTATGTACTTATTACTAATAGTCATTACTTTTGTTTAGTTTTTAAAACGGCATATGTTTAATAATATCAACAGAAATTATTATAATACATATAAATTAAATTAAATATGAACATTTTAAAATTTCCTACTAATTCAATCACTACTAAATACATTAAACGATAAACATTCAAAATATCTTCTGTCAGTTTTAAACTCATCCATAAAATGTTGATCTATCAGCTTTGCTTTATTACAATAATATTTTATTTTTATAAAATCAACATAGTAAATTCTACAAGTAAGTTAACTAATGAAGTTAATTACAATAACTAATTATTAGGTTAATTATAAAAATAATCTGTATTCAAAAATTGTTGTTTTTATATGTTTTTATTTATTTTCTTTGAATTTATACAAATAATTTTTGTTTATCTAATTGGTATACATATTTATAAATTAAAATACTTAGAAGAACAAGGCCTAACTCTAAAATATTAAAAAAAAAATTATTAATTCAAAGGCATTTAATAAGATGACGATTCTAAATTGATTAAAGTAATAATACTTTTTTATTAAATAAGTTAAATTTTATGACTCGTGAAAAAATTGAATATTTGATTTTCTTACACTTGTTTTTACAAGTGTTTCAACTATTATTTTAATTTTAAATATTGTTTTACACGATAACTCTTAGTTAAACCGTGTACAAATAACTAAATTTATTTACAACGGATTATTAAAAATAATGAAAATTCTAACTCTTAGTTGTTTAATATGTTTATCAGTTATAAAAATTGTGACTATTGACAAAACATTGGTTATGAAAAATATAAATGTCGAATATGAATTATTTTATTATTAATTATTTTTTCGCTATAACAATCCTGATAGTTAAACATCCTTACCAACATTACTTTAATAATATATAATCATATTTGTCAATAATATAAATACATATACATATATATTTTTTTTTGTTTTGTTTTTATAGACTTGAATCCATTTGCAAGTAGTGTATATTTTTAATAATAATAATAATGGTATTTTATAATTCGTATATTTAGTAGCAAATTCTTAATATTTAGAAAGGTTAAAATATCTTCCAAACACAATCCAAGAATTAGAAGATTTAATTTTAAAAGGAGAAGATGATATTAAAGTTAAAAGTTATGAAAAGTTAAAGCATATATATAAGGTAATTGAGAATAATTCATGATTATTTATGTATCCATTTTTCTGAAGATGAAAAATAATATTACTTTAGAGATTTCCGATCAAATTTTTTTAATTTTTCTTTAAAACTTATTAATTAATTATTTTATCTTCATTTTGTGATATATAAATGATTAAATCATTAAGGGGTACCTATTTATTAGCGTCGATGGGAAGCTGAGTGAGAAGGTATTAATTTTACTATGATGTGTTTTTTTGTCTGTTACCACTCTTTCTCAGCTCTTACCGAACCGATTTCTTGCATCATTACGTCAAAATGACACAAATCGTATCTAATCGAAAACATTTACCTCAAAAATTGAAAAAAAATCCTTCGTTCCCTGTAAATGGGGGAAATCTACAAAAAAATTACAAATTTCAAAATCAATAATTTTCGACATTTTTCCAATTTTTTTTACTTAAAATTGCCATAACTTTTTGAAAAATGTATAGATAAATACAATTTTTTTTAATAGATATAATAGGTACTTAATTTTCATTTGGTATATATGTTTTTTTAATCTGACTTGTCATCTGCTCACTACAGAGGGTTCAAAATGACAACTTTTTCATAAAAAATTAATTTTTTCAACTTAGAAATTATTTCAGAAATATTGATAATTTTATATATATCTTATATTAAAGCCTAAGTCATGTACTTTAATATGAGCAAATTTCGAACTTTATTTTGACTTATGGTGAATATGGCTACCGTATTCAAAAATATGCTATTTTTTGTTATGATTCTCAGTTTTATAATTTTTTTTACTTGTAAATACTCATTTTTTAATAATAAGTCATAATATCAAAACTTAAAATTTATAGAAAAAGTCTAATTTCAGATTTGAAACACTGGAAATCTGTTTTAGAAAAGTATATATTTGATTCCGAAGAAATTTCCTTGTAGACTAATATATTTATTCATAAGTAAAAAAAACTTTTTTTATAAAGTATTGCATCAAATCCTTTAATTTTTATAAGTGTTATTTATAGAAGTGACAAAATATACTACTTTGTCATTTTTTATTATTTTTCCATAAAAATTACAATATTAAATTGTTAAATATTAATTTCATACTATATTTAATTCTATTATAAATATTTATTCATAAATTATACTTTTAAATCTAAAAACTGCTTTTAGGATATAATTAAGGAAATATGAGTAGACGTTGCTTTTGTTAACACTATCTACAGATTTTCATCAAATTGTTTCTTGTGACAGTGATATTAATTAACGTCCATACTATGCCCGCGACCTTCCTATGCAACCGTTTTTTTATAATTATGTATTAAATTTTAAGAATGCTTATAACTGATATATGTACAATGTAAATCAATCATAGAAAACTTTTTCTATGATCATAAAATCATTTTAATCAATATTTAAAAAATTAAATTAAATTCTAAAATATATTTATATTAATGATTATCAATATAAGTTTGTTTCAAATGGGATTTACATTTAGTGTATTAAAAAAATTAAAATATATCATTTGTGTATAAAGTAATCCATAATTTTTGTGTATTCATTTAACAAAAATAAAACATTGATACATAATTTTAGACGACAAAACAAAGAGAAGTATTAGTTTCGATAATGAAGGTTTCGTCAGAAATGTCATATTACTATAAAAAAACGACGACATCAATAAAAAGCACTAAAAATTTGTGGGGTTTTTATCAAGGTATGTTAACATATTTTAAAATAGAAAATTATGAATGATATGTAAACATGAGCGTGATGTTGAGCAGTGGTGACACTAGTTGTTAAAAAAACTCTAGTGTTAAGCCGAACCTACCACTGTAGGTGAACGGATGGGTAACCATACATGCGCTTTTAAGTTGTTGAAAAAACATATTCCAGTGCAGAAGGCAACGGTAAACCACTCACTTATAAATTTCCTAGGATATCCTTTTATTTAAAAAATTGTTATTAATTTTAATGGTATTTGAATACACAGATTGGATGAGTACAGCTAATTATAGTGGGACAAAGATAGATTAATTCTAATTATTAGCCTATCATCCACGAAATTTATTTCCAAAAACCCAAACCAACTAAAAAATTAACCAAAAAAAAAAGTTAATTACAATTCAATTACATTTTTAGTCCTCAAAAATTTTCATAAAAATATACATAAGAATGTGATTTATACTTAAAATATATGATGCTATATATCTTATATACACTTTTTATTTCCTTTGTCTACTTGAATGCCGATAGTTCATTGAATACTTATACAAAATTGTCTATTAGCTTTGGTGGGCAGATAGTTCTAAATATTTTTAAGCAAATTTAATTATGTTTACCGTATACAATGAACTTAAATGACAAAAATTTTATTTTAAGGCTATAATTATGCAAAAATGTGTGAAACTGAATTGGATAAATATCCAGAACTACTTTACCAATGTATGAAGTGGAAAGCAGCTCTTCTAGAAACTGATATTTTCGAAGGTAACTTAATAGTTGGTAAATTACAATTGGATGACCTGAAAAATACTCTTGACAAAATATATGAACTGAAACATTCGAATAACATTCCCGATGACCCATTCTTATTATATTTAAAAGGAAGATTAGTATGCGAAGTAAGACTTATCTTTTGTTATTAAATTTAAATGTTTGTTATATATTTTTAATTAATAAGTTATGAAAATTGTACTCGTCCTATCCTTTGGTGGAGGTCTTATAGGCCTTTAACAATTTTTTTTACATAAATATATTTTAAAATTAATTATATTTTATTAAGATAAAACTGCAAACAACTGGTGGATTTGGTTTTATTCAAAAAGGAAAAGAATGGTTTTTTGGAAATGTAATAGATCACAAAAATGAATCGATCGATACTTGTATTTCTTATTTAAATGATTTTGAGTCCAATACTAGAAATGAAGAAGGATTCGTAGAAAGTAAACTTGCGTTGGGTAAAGCATTTATAGAAAAAAAACAGTTAAGTAATGCCATTTATTGGTTAAAACAAGCAGTAGACTTGCCAACTAGAAACTCAAAGGTAATACGTAATTACTGTATTTAATAGATAATAATAAAAATTTAACCATAATATTGTATTAATTCTCATAAAATTAGAGGAACACACAGAAATATCATTTAATTAAAGAAAAACTAATACTTTAAGCTGACATTTATTCGAATGATCTCAATGATTAATTAATTTAATTACTATCTTCCAATCAATCATCAATGAAACGTTTAGATTTTTACTGAAATACTTTAAAAAAAAAAATTTTATTTTAAACTTTAAATTTGGTTTTATTGAAAATAACGGATAAAAAATCTCATTTATATATATTAATTATTTTAATAAGTATTAATTAATTAGAAAAAAAGTCAAACTTGTCATCTTGTCCCAGGAGGCATGGTTAATATATAAAATAATTTTTTTTTATTGCTTTTATTAGTTCATTAAGAGCCACAGCGACTTCCCCTATAAGGTGGTTTTCTTAACCATTTATACTCCGAGACGGGTGATTAGTCCGTCGCCGGTGAGTGGAATGGCGACTCCAATTACCGAACTGTCTCTTGTTCGGCCAAATAAAACCGCCCGTGACCGAGTTTTGAACCCGAGGCAGTGCACGTCAAGCACTGCCGCGTTACCGACTCGGCCACACCGTCCCACTATTTAAAATACTTATAATTTGTAATGTTTTTTTTAAGCTATTGCACCAAAAAACATTTTATTTATTTATCCACACTTAATTTGAAACTTTTTCAAATTAATTTCAATTTTATTAAAAAATTCCCTCTAACAATCACCTAATTTGAATAGACTTTAAATTTCAATTACTTTTTATTCGCAATGTTTCTTTACAGTTTACTATCTGTTCATTAACACTCAATTTGTATGCTTATGTCGTTAAAAAACAATTATATATTATTATTGAAAAAGGTGTAAGTAAGAAAGTATAAAATACGTATACTTACTAATAAATTTTTTATACGATTTATACTTTTTTAAGTATAAAAAAGATTTTTACCTTATGCTAGATTTGTTAAATAAGCCATATTTTTATATACTAAAAACTTAAAATAACAATTATTTCTAAATCAAAAATCACTAGTTGGAAAATATAATTTATCAAATATTGTGATAAACTGAAGTTACTAGGATACTATGCTAAAGTTATTATCCTATCAAAGAATTATAAAAAAAGTAATTTTGTCATTTAACTTTGTTATAAGACCCTAAAAATAACTTTCTACGATATGATCTGTATTTAAAACAATTTATTTTTTATGTTCTAGAGTGAAGTAAAAAATCAAGAAGCTCGGGAATTGTTGCAAAAAACCCAATTTGATTTTTACTCGTCCCCCGTAGTATATTAGAAATATTAATAACCACAAGTGTTACACGTTTTTTTTTGCAATAACTATTTAAATAAACAACTACACATTTTTTTGAAAACATGAATTCAATATTTAGATTTTACACTAAGTTAACATTTAAGAGACCTATTTTAATTAAAAAGTTTATACCTAGAGTAATTTTGTTATTATTTTTACAATATCCCTCGTGTAATAAATACATAAGAAATTGTGTTCTAGATTTGAGGATAAAAAATATTATATTAATAATGAAGTCAAGTTACTCAAATAGTGTATTTGAAATAGCGCTTATCATTTCTTATTATGAATTTAGTAGTGTACATTCAAATAACTATGTATATTAGACTGAATTAATTAATAGATGAATTTTATTATACAATTAATAACAGTTAGTTTTATTATCACATTTCAATCATAATAATAAGGTTTGTAGATATACCTATACCAGAAATTTTGATTTTTAGTAAAAATGAAAAATTTGTTTTAATTTTAATTTGTTAGGGACAATGTGTTTGTGTTGTTGTATAAGCATGTGCTGTGAAAGATCGATTGAAAAAAAGCATCTAACCTGTTGAATTTTTTCTTATGTTGATTGAATACGGTAATTCCACATTATAAGCGATCTGATTGCAAATATACAGTGAAATGTTTGTCCAATTAAACATTCAGTCGGCGCGTGTCCATTTGTCATAACATAAGATTTGATAACTTCATTTTAATTCATAAAAATTCTAGTACATTGTTATGTGAAAATTGCATACTGAATATACACTTGATCATTTTTTCATAAAAACACATATTTTTAAAAATTATTTGACCATGTTAAAAAAATTATAGCAATTCAATTTTTTTTTTTTTTTGAACCTCGAATAATCACTCAAAGTTTGAATTCAACAAATTTTAATAATCAAATAGTTATAATTATTCATGTTTTGTCAATTATTTTAAGTAATAATTTAAAAACAAAAATTAGCCTTTTAACCTATCAATACTATATCAGCTATTTATCAGTTTCAACCGTTTAATTTAATCAAGTTGTGTTAACGCATTAGAACAAAGCAAGTTTAAAACAAAACTTGCTTAAACTTCTTTAAAAACTCATTAAGGGTGAATAAGTTTTTCAAAATTCATTAGTGTCTTATATATTTCCATTTCATAATTCATTTAATACTTATGTGAAGGTAAAATTATTATAATATAAAATAAATACTGCTAGTGAATTAAAAACACGGATTAACTTGAATAACTAAAGGAAGTAGTTAAAAATTAAAATTTTTATTTATTTCCAATAATATATATATATATATATATATATATATATATACCATTAGATATAAAATTAAAACACTTATACAATTATATAGTCAATAAATGTTACAGCTTAAATACTTTAAAATAAATAATTGGAACGGAAATCTAGGAAATTATCCGTTTCTTTTTTTTGGGAAATGTTTTTTACTATTTCTTTTCGTAGTTACTAATGGCTTCCAAGACAAAACTGGTAATTGAGTCGATGCTGGATTCGGATAATTCTATTTTACCATTTCCATTCATGTAGGGTAAAACCGTGCAGATGGTACTGATGAGAGTGATGAGACCAGCTACGGCAACGGTGGCTATTGCACCCATGACAGCTACGACGGCGGCGATGATCACGTTTCTGACGATGGTCTTCAAGCCAATGGCTTTTACCTTAGCGGCAACGTACAAGATACCAGACACGATCAATTGTTTAGGCAACATCAACTTTTGAATGAATCCGGAAATGAAAGAGTCCAAAAATGGCATCAATAATCCAACTTTGTTCAAGATAACGGTCAGTTGGTTTTGTGGTGGTGGTGGTGGAACGTACAACACTTTGTCCACGTGTCCGGAAGGTCTGACCACTTTTTTGTGCAAGATAGTACCTTGAGATACGGCATCCATGGTGGCATCGAATGCGGCGTTGACAGCTGGCCCGGCCACTTTAGCTGCTTCCATGTTGGCGTTGAAGTAAATGTCGTTTTGAATTTGAGCTGCTATGGAGGAGGACACAGCCAAAGCCAAAATAAAAGCATAGGACCTATAAAAATTAATAAAATTATTTTTAATATTTATTGCGATGAAGTATTATAAAAGAAAAAATATTATTAAAATATTTAATTTTTGTAAATAGTACGTTTAAATTATGTTTATGAATAATATACAAGCAAAAATATAAAACAATTTTTAAAAACTAAAAATATGCCAATGTTATTTGACCTCATTAATTTAATTGAAGATTATAGATTTTCAAAAATAAATAAGAATATATTTTTTATACTCACTTAAACATTTTAATGATTTTGAGAGTGTTTTTGTTAGACTGGCGTGTGTTCTTAGGAAAAGACTAGTTGACTGATGCGTTTTTTCAAATCGAAACATTGGCCTTTTATACATAAATACTCAACTGTTTTGCAATTAAATACACATAGAGGTGTCTAAGCCTTTCTTAACCACCAAAGTCCCCTCTAAAAGAAAAAATCAATGCTAATTAATATGATACTAGACTACTGGCCCTTAATGGCGACTATATTAACAATATGAGCCTAAGGAATTCGCAGACAATTCAATTAATAACGACAATGCTCATGCAAATAACACTTCGTTAATGGGAAAACTGTTGTTATTACTCATTTTGAGCTATATTATAGGAATCCCAGTACAGTAATAATTTTTAAACATACTTGCAATGACTATTGAAACACAAGTTTTTTTTTTATAATAACTTATCATCGTACATCAAACAATTAACATTACTCTTTTTATACTTCATATTTATAGTACTTAAAACAACGATAATATTAATACAACAAAATCTTTAATTTAAACTCTTGCTCTAAAATTAATAATTCATTTAGTGTGAAATGTGCCAGTACAAAAAATGGAATTTAATTATACTTGTTTACAACGTTTTATGTACTCTTTTTAAGACCTCAGTATGTATTTTATACTTCTTGTCGTAGGTTATCACTAGTTAATAATATAATTCAATTATCAATCCATTCAATTTTTTAAAAATATATTATATTTAAAAAAAAACCTTATTTCTTTATTATAATTATAATTTTGTTTCTTTGATATTTAGTAAAATATTAAATTGCTTATAGCCAAAAAATACAATCTTGAACAAAATTAAGTAATATTGTATCTAAAAAATATTGCTTAGTATAATAAACTATTGTTTACAACAAATGTTTGGTCTTTAATAATTTGAAATATTACAAGCTCATGACACCTCCTCAAATTATACATTTTCTATAGTAATACAATTAATCATTTAATAAAACACCTCGTTGATCACTCTAGAAAAGTGGCAATTATAGATTTATTTTTCTTAAGTACTGATATAAAAATATTAATTTAAGTCATTTAATGAAATAAAATATATATTATTGTTATGGCAAAAGTAATTAAACTATTGAAGAAATAATATATTTTGACCGTTTTAAAGTTCTAAATTTTATTATAAAAGCGGAAACCACGAATAAATAAAGAATAATAATTGAAGGAAAACTGAGAAAAAAATGAATAATATGTCTTTTGAAATTGTACAAGAGTAAAGTATCTATGAACTAAACAATTTGAATTATATATTTCTATATTACATTGCAAAGTTTATTTATTATATTGTATTATTTATTTTTAAAAATCGCCATTAATGTTGAAATTTTTGATAAAATCAGTTGGGGTAATATAAAATAAATAAATATTATCTAAAAAATATTTTACGTCCAGAGACACACTCCTGTACATCTCATGTACAGGAGTTTATTTAAATGCACAAAAAAATCATAAGGTCCGACAATTGATTAAGAACCACAATGAAAAATCTACTTATTCATGATCATTAACTAAAAATGCAATAATTACAATTTATTTACAATTAATCTATAGAAATATTTTCGTAATTTAGTAAATTGAGATTTCATTTTATATTTATTAATTACAAAATAATATTTTGTAAATTCTTTGTTTGGTATTTTCACTTTTACAAAATAGTGTAAAATGTATTTTGAAATTTCTACACTTGGTTGTAATAAACGGTTACATTTCAAAAGTACTCAACATCTTGAACGCATAAAATGCATTTAATATATTTTTGAGTAATTAGATAGTAAAAAAACTGATAATTTTATTAAGAATTAAATATTGATAGAATATATATTTGGGTTTAGATCATTGGTTTTATAAGAATAATCGTATTTCTTGATAATATATAAAAATATTATAAGAATAAAATTGTAATTTTTTTTAAAACATGACCAAATTAAACTTCAGAATGTTTATTATTGAAAATTATTATTAAAAAAATTAAACTAAATAATATAATTTCGTGTCTTTATAACTAAACATATTTTCTCTATGCAACAAGATTTTTAATAGTTTATAAAAAAAATAAAGTGTCTTTATCTTCAATCGATGACCGTATATTGAATTTAAATGAGATAAAAATCAAAGTAGTTGAAAATTTATTCTAACTTAAAAAGAATTAAGAAATAGATGCAAAAAAATTCCTTTCCATACACGGGTTGGAAGCTAATTCAAATTTCAAAATTATTTTTCTTGACTTAAAAAAAGCAAAAAAATTAAATTAAATTTAAGTTTCTATGCTATACTAATTTGATTTAAATAATATTTATGAAAATCAGTGTATTCCCCTTATCAGGTATTTAAAAAAATAAAATAACATAATAAAAGTGTCAGTATTTCCGGGACAATTTCAAAAATTAAATTGAAAATGTCCAAGTTTCAATACGCATGTTTAAAGTTTTGACCCCCTTGTATAAAGGGATATGATGCAATTTAAAAACCAGTGTGTCAAATGAAAGGGGTATATAAAAATTATTTATAAAAAAATAATAATATTGATCCATACATTTTTCAAAAAGTTATAGCATTATAAATTTAAAAATACGTTTATGTTTATAAATGCCTTTAAAGAGGTAAATTTGATAATAATTTGGAAATTTTTAGAACATTAGTGAACAAGAGTTTGATGTTTTATATATTTATAGAAATAATTCCAAAACAATGACAATTAACAATGTTATGATAGACATTCTGAGGAAAATCACTGATAATGCAAAAATACACGTTTAATGAAAAAATGCAAAATGAATCAGGATACGAAGTGAGATTCATTATTAAAAACTTGTATATAGCAATACTAAAATATTAATTGTATTATAATTTTGTGGCAATTTTTATAAAACTTATGAATTAGGAAAATAGAATTTTAAGATTATTGATTTTAACTACAGTTCTGATTTCTATTGCTGGACAAAAAATGGAACATCCCACATTTCAAAGAAAGTCGCAAAAAAATTATCCTTTATTGATAAATAACTTTAACTTAAATTGTACAATAAATTTTATGTATAAATGGAAAAACTGTTCGTCAATCACTATTATGTATTTAATAGTTATACGTGTTAGTCAGCGTTCATGTTTCGTTTGATTATTTTGTTTGTATCTCTGATTATTTTTTATTAATCTTTTACTATAACTATAACATTTAAGTACTACTTTTATACAAAAAAGTTCGACTGGCTACAATTTAAAATAAATAACTAGTATCTTTTTTTTTTTTTTAATAAATTTTATTATAAATAATTTACATAATATAGAAATTATTTAATAATTTATTTTCTTGTTTTTAATAGTTTTGTTTATGTGATTTAGAAAATTATTAATAAATTTGAGCATGGTAATGTTAAATTAAAATGTTTAGGTTAATTAATACCTTGTTCAGTTACTGAACTCTCCCCAATATGTGAAAACCATCGGTATAAATTAAAACATTAACTCATAAGCACCACAGTTGAGTAATTTTATTAATTTATGCTTTATGACTTAAATATTAATATTTAAAGCACTTTGTTGACATTTTAATATACTGTGGCAATCAATTTTCCGTTCAATACAGGTCTACTCGATTTTTCAAACTTATATTTAATTAAGTATGTTTTTTTTTTTATTTAAAAATGTAATATTCACTAAAAGTATTGAAATGTATGAATTGATAAAATTATTTAATACCCAGGTATAAAAAGTTAATTTTTAACAATACATTTATTATATAATTTTGAAGTTTACCGAATCTTTAATTGTTCAATAACTTAAAAAAATAATATGAAAATATATAATTAAAAACTTGGTTTCTAATGATATTTTAGTGAAGAGAATGAATATATAAATTATCTGTACCTAGTTAACTCTAATACTATAATATACATACATAAATGAAAATTTTATTTTATTCAAACAGACACAATAGAAAAGGAAGTTATAGTTTTTATGATAATTTACATACTATTTCAACTTTCGTAATGTTATATGTTTCTATTTTTATTTGTCATTTTAATACATTCAAATGTTTAAATTCCGAATTTTTTTCTCGAAATAATTTACTAATGTAATTCAACGGCTTAATATGAACATATAAGTATACACATTCAAAGTGTAATTATTTCCAGTTGAGTGAAATTATACTGAAAATGTAAATTTAATAATTGAATTTCATAAAAAAACAAAGAATCGTTTTTAATTAAATTAATTATTGTAAAAAGTAATCAGGAAAAAAAATTCTATAATACTCAAATTAAACAAATTACAAATAATTATTTTTTCTGCGTTAAATTTTTATTTATTTTTATTTTGATCGCAAAAACGTTATACAATAAATTTTAAAGTACAATCGGACAAGTCGATATTTTATCTATTTAATTTAACTAATCGAAACAAAACAAAAAAATGGTCAAAACAAAGAGTTGATTTTTGAAAAAAAAACATATTTACAATAACATATACTTATAATTAAAAAAAAACTATCATAAAAACTAAAAATAGGTATAATAATAATAATAATTAAAATAGTATAGACAATGAATGGCCAACGTTTTTCGCTGTAAATGGTACATGAGTTTGAGCAATACCTAATTAATTTAATGAAATTCAACTGATATGATTTAAATCTACTTCATTATAATTAGTGGTTTAATCAAGTAGAATGAGAATAAAAAAATGTTTTCTATTATCGGCGTGAACAGCTGCAGCCGAACATATCACATGAAATAAGTACAACGGTTATCGTATCGAAGAAAAAGGCCGATAACGAACCCGAGTGATAGCACTACGTTTCCTTCGCCGTCCTTTCCGACCCAATTTCGGTATTTCTTTGAAGAATTCTTCGTCTTCATTGTCTTGTACTTGCTCATCGCCGTACTCATCGTCCTCGTCGTACAGCTCCCCTTCATCATCTGACGGCAATAGAGATGGCACCGTTGCCAGTCCCGTAGTCGATATTACAGGGGCTGGAGTAGTGGTCGTAGATGAGGTTGGCGGCGGCACAGTAACCGCGCTTTTGGGCGCCGTGACTGCTGGCCGTTTCTGATGTTGATTGTTGATGGCACTGTTTTTTGATGACGACGAACTTACTTGAACGTGAACTGACACCGAAGCTTCAGGAGCTTCGCGGGCAAAGTTCCGCCTAGACGCGTCGTCTTCGTCATCGCCGTCGTCGTAGTATATTTGACCGTCCGAATACTGTTGGAATGATGGCTGAGAAGGTTGTTCGACCGACTGTCCGCTTTGTAACCGGAAACCATGTTTAAAGTTTTGGTTTCCGAACCGCTCTGAAGACAAAACCACAGGGTGTTGGTTTTGCTGATGCTGCTGTCGATACGGTGGCTGTAGTGCTTGTTGTTGTTTGGACGGAAAGTGTCGTGGTGGTTGGATGTTGGCCACGGTAAAAGGTTTAGACACCGGATACCGTTGTAGAAGAGGCGGCACGGGTGAAGGCTTTTGCACCGATGGCTGTGAGTGATCTCGCTCTTTTAAACTTTCTTGGAACGCGTTGTGCAAAGCTATAAGAGCGGCGATTGTTTCCGGCGAATTAGTCGGATATGATATAGGCGGCAACTTTGTTGTGCCCACTGGTGTTGGCGGTCTCTTGGTTGTAGTTGTAGTCGTGGTCGTAGTAGTTGTTGTTGTTGTAGTTGTCGAGGTCGAAGGTGGTTGCGGTGCTGCCACCGGAACAGGTTGTGCTGTTGTAGAGTCATCATCAAAGTAATCTGAAGTACCAGAACAATCTTCTTCGTCATTGTTACATTGAGCTGGCTCTTGTTCAGGTGGTTCTTCTGGTGCTATACTGTAAGCAATATAGAAAGAAATGATAATATTAGTTCTTTCAGTACAATGTTTTTTGTAAATTATTTTATATTATTCCTTATAAGAAAAAAAGAAATTAAATATAAAAATTTATATGACAAAATCTTTTTTCTGTTGTTGTTATATCAAAGTTACAGAATTATCTAACTTTTTTTTTTTGTCAACTTGAACACAAATAAACTGCAATAACTTTTTAAATATCAAAGTGTATAACCAAAATTAGCAACAGATAAACTATAATATTTGTAGAGATAATACAAGATAAGTTGAAGTATTTCAGTATCAAAAAAATTTCTTAACCTAAATAGGAATTCATTTTAGTAATATTATTTAATGATATATTGCCATTCTAACTTTATTATTAAAATCATACTTTTATTAATACATATCGCACGTAGAATACTTTAGTGTAGTAACTTAAAATTTGTCAATTTTGAGTAATTTGTTTATATGTTTTTTTTTTTTTTGTAAAAATACATAATTCCATTACAATGCAATAGAGTCTTATGCCGTATACAAAATTTAATGTGTAATACTAAAAAACATTGTTTATAAATAATAGATAATGATAAATTTGTTCCATGAAATAGTATAGTATATTTTGAGTTACTACACTGAAGTACTCGCAAAACGATATGTTTTACTATAATTTTATAATATACGTCGAACAAAATGATCAATTTATTAAATATTTGATGTGATATAATATGATTAATGTTATGTCCTCTTTAATTAAATTTAAATTATTTCCTAATAAAAAAAAAATAAGAAGAAAGTTTTGAGTATAAAAAAAATTGAAACCCTAAAAAGTATACTATAATATAATATAAAAAAGTTTACATTTTTTTTTAGACCATAAGAAATTATATTAAAAATGAATTTCATTCTTAAAGATAAAAAACAATCGTTTTTTATATATATATAAGTATTTAATACTACACTAGGAGTACAAAAAGGAGTTAAAAAATTTATATATAGGGTGATAAATAATATTCCTAAAGTGTCAACTTTATTTTTTTTAATGTTAAAATACATATTTAACTAACTTATAAAATAAAAAATGATCTAATTAACAAAATGATTGGTTGATAACAACTTTCGTTTGGAAGATATTTACAATTTTGCACCAAGGCGGTAAAAGAAGAGCGGCTAAGAAATAACTACTAATAAAAACAGCAAAATCCTTGTTTCCCCTCCAGTCTATACTTTAAAGTGCTAATAACTTCCAAAATATAAGACCAAAAATTTTTATTAGCCAGTTAGTTTCTTAATTAGATCATTTTTTATTTTATGAGCTATTTAAATATGTATGTTGTCATTAAAAAAATAAAGTTGATAAGATATACAAAATATTTTATAACAGATAAATAAAAATACATGTGTAACTTACAAAGCAAAAAAAAAAATTTAAGAATTTCTCTTATTGATAGAGAATTCGAGGGGCTAGCCATAATGTAATCACACTGTATAAGTCTTTTATACTGTATAGACTAATAGTCTGGGGATAAAGAATAATCTTTAAAGCGCAACAGAATGTAGTAATTAGAATTTGTTTAATTGAAAAAGATTTAATTGTTTAATCTTCGATTTTAAAAACTTTGAAGTGTTAACAGCTTAAGTATTATATAAGTTATTTTCTATTTTATTTATCATCATATAAACTATAATTAATAAAAAAATTTTAGGAAATATGATATCAGTGTACAGTGCACAAGTGAACAGTTTGGATAAATTTTTATTAATTATAATAATATCGTACTGTCATTTTAAACGCTAATATTTAACGTCTAGCCTACTTTAGCTCTTATATCATAAATTCTTCTATCTCATTTAAATTTTTGTACTTAGGCAAGAGGAGGAGTGACGCTATACAGTAGCACTTACTCCTCATTTACAGTAGATTTTTTTAAATTATTAATAACTACTGAAATACTGGTCCAAAAGTTATTATCGAACAGTCCTTTTCTTAATGAAATTATTTTATTTCTTATAAGTTAGTTTAATATGTATGTTATCATTTTAAAAAATAAAATTGGCATCCCTTATAAGACATAAAGGATGAACATAAAAAATATTTTTTAACAGATAAATGTAACTAACAATCTTAAAAAAAAATCAGTATTTTAAGAGAAATTGAGTAGTTAATGTTAAAAGAATCACCCTCTGTACGCTCAGTTACTTGATTAATGACTAGTAAATAAACTAAACATCTAAAACTATTTTATAAAAACGAATTTCGATTGTGTCTTTTCAAATTTTAGACTATTTTGGCTATGGTGACGTTTCTCTTTTAAACTTTATTGAAACGCATTGCTTAAATCAATAAGACTTCAATAAGTTGAACGATTTACTTCAGCTCCTTTTACTAAGGATTAAATATTTTTTATTCTAATCTATTATTCTTCTTTAGTATTTCATGAAAACAATTAGTATTAATGAAAAAAGAAAAAAATCATCAACTTATATAGTTATGTAAAAAAAGTTCAATCCATGTAAGTATAATTACCACACACGTACAGTATACGCTGTCGTGTCAATTAAATAGATACAACGAACTTGTTGGTATAATTGCAACTGTCTGCAATGATTTTTTTCAGTAAGAGATGATTATAAAAATAGTCAATAAACCTGAGTTTGAAGTATTTTTATTGGCATTATAAAAAAACCTGTTTGGTGAATACCTTTTATATTATGATCTAATTAATCATGAAATTCTCAGTGTTAATTTACGGCTGAGTTGATATGAGTAATTATTTTATGTCGGTTTTTACCGTAAAATTATTGTGGGGTTTTAGTATTACTTTCAAAATAAATACATAATAGTTGTACAGCTCAGACAGCGCCTAATTAAAATTATTAACATGAAATGAAAAATATTTTTGAAATACTTGCCTATCGATGTTGTCTAATTTCAATGTGTCATTCGCACAAACAACGTGCTCCTAATTATTATATAATGTGTAGTTGTTTTGAATCAACAAAAATTAATAATAACAGTAAGCTACTCAAAACCCATAAGTCGAACTACTACGCATAGATATTAAGGCATACACATAATTAGTCTGGCTGATAATGTTCGCTCGCTAATAATCTCACATAGTAATTTTTTCTTATATGAATTCTTAGAAAACTATTGAAATAAGTTAGTAGTACAGTTTTTATAAGTGGAAAATAGAAAACAAAAATGATCCAATAATGTGGTGTTTTGTACAAATGTTTATAAAGGTGGTCGAAAATTACAACATTTTTTTTAACTTAATAATCACAATGTTTTTGATAGTAAAATAAATACTTGAATTTATGGCCTGTAAAAAGTTGCGTTATGCATTTTTTCTCATCATTGTACGACAAAAAATGTTGAGTTTATTTTGATTATACTTCAGTAGACTATTACTAATAATGGATTATTATGAAAATCATAATCAACTTATACTTTAAAATCACGAGTTTCATAAAATACAATCTCATATGGTTAACTTATCAATATGACACTTTAAATTTTCTTTGAATGTAATAAAAACAAGTATTTCATTAGTTTCTAACTATTTGAATATATTTTGTTAAAAAGTATATATATTAAAAAAAAACTGATAATTACCCATAACCTGCTCCGTTATTTCCATATAACTCCAAGTTCAGGTCGAAGAAACTTTCACTTTTACTACAGTCTACTTCGTCTAAGCGTTCACATACTCTTGTTTCTTGATCAAACACCGTTCCATTAAGACATAAAAACTTGATATCGGTTATTTCCGCTACAAATAAAGCAACAATTAATATTATAAACAATATTACTTTTTTAGAAATATATATTCCATAGGGTTGGAGATCAATTTTTTCTTCTTAAAATTATTGGTATCTTTAGTTTATGGCAACAGAGCGTGTTATTAGAATCACAATAATAAAAACTGATAATACATTTAATATTAAAATTTTAGACTTTTATATTTTGAACTGCATGCTAAATATTTATATTTTAAATAATAATTTATATCTTTGTTTGTTTGAGTAATTCTTAGTTACAATATTGACTTATAAAACTAAAAAATACCATAGAAATTCGAAAACCAGATCTAAGACGTAACATAGATGTCATATTAATTAGATTACGAATTGACCACACCAAACTTACCCATTCATGTATAATACAGAATAATTACTTACATGCACAAACTGTAATAAAATTATCATCGTAGAACATGTATTTCAAAATGATCGGTTATATACTAGTTAAAATTACCTTAAGTACCTCTCATTTGGAATGAAATTTTTGAAGAAAATAATATTTCATACTTAAAACAAACATACGAACTTAAATTATTGCAAAAATATATAACTTTGTTATTAGCCTATTTTAAACCTTAGATTGTCAAGTAAATAATTGTTTATAGTAATTTAATATTAAGGCTAATGGTCAGAATTACCAAAGCCTTATTAATAATTTATATATTGACTTGTATTTTTAACACTTTTGTAGTACAAAGTTTTTAGTTTTTTTTAATACGTATCAAAGTTTTTTACAATAGTGATTTTAATCACTGTTGGATATCAATAAAAAATAATTTAAAATTAAATAACTCAACTTCATAACATGGGATACTAACAGTAATTAACTTTGTTTTATTAATTTATTCATAATTATGAGTCAATATTCATTACAGGCTAAAAGTGGAATTGTCCACTTTCCTAAACTTTGTCATATCCCACACCTCCCTAAAATATTTATTAATAAAAAACATTATTATAATGTTCAGAAGAATCAAACATTGTAATAGTATTTAAAAATGTAAGTATTTTAAATACAAATACTTTATACGTGTATTTTAAATACTTCTTAAAACTTAACAAGTTTGACAATTAAATTTACTATCAATTTGGTAATTATATATTATGGTCAACTTCTTAACAAAATTATGGAAATTTAAAAAAAACATCGATTTTCGAGGTATACAATATCATTATTTTAATATAATAATAAATTGGTTCTTATAAGTTTTTTTCATTATTATCCTATACGCGAGAATGAACTCTCAGTCGCTTCTGTGCCAATAAAAGTTTTGAAAAAATTTATTGATTATGTTAATGTAGTTCAGTTTGATAAAAATTTTTATATTATGGTTTAAATTTTATAAAAAAAATGAAATAATGATAAAAATTAAATTGATTGCTATAATATGAATTATGTAAGTCAATAAATGTATTTCAAGTAGATTCTTTTTAAAATATGTTATTAATTTGTGTTCAAGTTAAATGCATTCAATTTACATCTACAACTTATTCTCATGGGAGCATTTTGTTTTATTATATGATTTTAATCTATTATTTTTGTATTTTAAATGTGATCCAAGTAAACTCACATGATTCAAAAATTATTTTTTAATTCAATGACATGTGCAGTCATTTTCTCAGTATATTCATATATCTTGATATTTTGATAAAAATATCATTTGTACTACTATTACCTTGCAAAGCGTTGCACAATCTAATTTTCTTTGTTGATATCAATTTGAATACATTTAAATAACATATTTTGCACAGAAATCGTGATGACTATAAACAATAATTAAGTAGATACCTAGTAAACAGCGGTAATTGCCAATACATTAAGGTGACAGTGCCACAGGAATTGAACTGTTTGTTTGGCCAAACAGACGTATTATTATCATTCCGGTATTGTTGTGTAATATTGCATATTACATTCAGCCTTGTTATTTATAAGTACTCGAAGGGTGTACAAAGAAAATGGTCCATAAACAATAACCTTGGAGACAATTTAAACTTTTTTCATTCCTACAAACGATTTTTGTTTTCTATAGTATGCAAAAACAGTCGACATAATTTCTTACTATTTAATAAATAAAAATCTAACAATTTAAAATGAAGCTGCATTATCAAATTAACTGGGGATTAATTTTTAAATATCAAATAGTAAAGTCATAACGTTATATTGACGAATGAATTTTTTATTCATACCAAAAAATATATTCATCGATAAAAACTTGTTCTATAAAACGAATACACACTAAACAAATTAAGTAATTTTACTAAAATATTTGTTTTTAAAATAAATTTCCAAAAAACTTCATAGAATATTTTTGCAACACCCAAAAAATTCAATGAATAAATAAATACATTTTAAAAATATTCAAGGTAGAAACCGTTTCTTGAAAAGTTATTAATGATCTTTTTGAAAAAGTTTAAACACAATTGATTCCTGGTCAAACAAATGTTTGACTAGGAATTTTACAGATAGTGTGTCATTTTACTACAGAAATAAACAAGTGTAAAAATGAAAATAAAAATTTTAAGAAATTCACTTAATTGTTTTTACCACTATGAATATATATGTTTACGAAATCAGTGGCTTATTTTCAGAAAATTTTTTCCAAAGACTGTATGCTAAAAAAATAAAATACTGATCAAATTTTTTAAAAATAATTTTAACACTTCTTACGGCTACAATCATGTCAAAATGACTTATTTCATCATTGCCACATATAAATAAAACGATATTTTAAACGGTCTTTGATGTGGATTAATTAAGAATGAACTAATTTTATACCGAAACACATATCAACCATTAAAAGAAGTAACAAAAGTTACTTAAAAGCTATTAGGGTAGCACCTTAAGGGGAATATACACCAATTTTTTACATAATTATTTAATTTTGAATGTTTATCAATAACTTTAAATTTGTTTTTATATCTTTATGAATAATTTAATTTATTTATAATTTGGTTTTTATTATTTATAAATTTTTTTTTTGTTAAATTGTTTTTATTTAAGTATATCCTAAAATTAAAAAATGTGTATATTTTACACATTACTAATATTTCTATCGTATAAACAAGGTTTATACTAGTTAACTGTTTAATTTTTATTGTACGATAACTCTCACTTTCAATTATAAAATGTCACCAGCTGAAGTATTTTTCTACCTACCATATGCATATAATTAAACTCCAAATATTCGTTAAATGCACAAATTAACCATAAACTATTTACAAATAGAAAGTACAATTTAATAAATAAATATTTATTCTCTGTATCATTGGTATCCCACTGAAATAACTATTAGTAATCATTGCAACACTTAAATTAATTAACAAAATAACTCACGGGGAGAATCTCTAATTAATCAAAAGATAGAAGCCCTTTTTTTCAATTAAAAGGCTTAATCCTTTAAATCAATACAGTTTTTTCACATGAACAAATACAAAAGGATATTTCATCGTTCAACTAAATTACCTTTATAAAAAACTGTCACAATTTTGTGCTTAAGATATTATACTCACATATTATGATTGATCGAGCTGACCTGATAAGTATTTCAAAAGGGGCGTACAACATATTATCTATTTCAATGACTGGAATAGAATTTCCTAACATCAGCATATATCAGTGCTTTATACAATATAAACACCATCGCATTTTCTACGGGTCAACTGTTGTTTGTGAACAATGTGCATGAGCTAATGATCGATAAATGAACAAAAAAAAATAAGGAAACAATCTTTCTAAGCATGCCACTGGTTTGATTGCATCTGGACTTCAATTTTTTTTTTTTTTTTTTGCAACCATTTTTACAATGTATAGTTATTTCATAAAATGTAGTAAACAAATGTTGTATACTTATCAAAATACTTTAAACTCAATATTACTGTACAGTTAATACAAACCCCGAATTAAATAATTCATATAATTCATTTGTGAACATTTTGGAGTAAGATTCGTGTGCAGCAGAAATAAGAGAAATTGTAATTTAATTACGATACAATCCGAATAAGTAAATCATTTTTTTTTCTTGTATCACAAAATTTATTATAAATAATGTTAATATATTATGTTCTGTTACCTTTTTGGCCAATGGTACAAACATGAAACATCTGACAACCAGTTTCCACGTCTGCATAATAACCTCCAATGACTTTGCCCTCACAAGAGAAGTTTGTTTCTGGCAAATTATCAAAGTCCAAATACTATGAAAAAAAATTAATGAGTTCAATGATTATTACATAAGTATCAATTTATGTAAATATAGTATTATTGTATGATGAAGATACTTCATTGATATTTTGTTATATTAAAAAAAAATAGCTCTAAATTCAAATAATTATTTTTTTAAACAAATTTTTAAAGATAGGTACCAAAGTTAACCTGTTATTATTATTAAAGATATATTTTAAGTATACATTATAATAATCGGTTATTGGATGTCAAATACATTTGTTGTTTAACCATATCATAAAAAAACTTGCATTGTAGTTGCAATTATTAAAAAAACGGCTATTGACAAATAATGGTAAAACATTCTGTCCATTACAAACTCAAAAAAATAATAAAACATGGGAAAACCTATAAAAACTCAACGTAGAAAGTTGCATATTATAAGTGCATTTTATTTAACAGCATACATTTTTAAATTTTAAGAAAAAAAGATTTAACCTCAACTATATAATGAAAATCAAAAACGAACTATAAATTACATTTATAAATAAATTTGTAATAGAATTTTTTTTTTTAATGAACCTAAAATAAAAAATGTGTACCTATTAATGATACAGCAGTTTAACGAAAAAGATTACATTGTGATATTAGTACAACATCAAGCGTACACTATTACTCATTTCTTATAATTCAAGGCTGGTCATTTTCAGTTATTAAAAACTATAATTTTCCACTAAAAATTGTAAAGATGAAATTTTCTCCACAGAAACTTATATATATCTTTAATCATTTTAATAGCAGCTATTAGTATCTGCCTGCCTATATACAGTAATTTTAAACAGCATTTTAACAATTTTTTTCAACGGTAATTTTGCATACTTTCTCTTGGTAACTATTTTGGTGCATTGAACAAATATATACGTCAACTGGAAAGGAGTTGTTATTACTTTATGAACAAAATTATTTATTTATTTTTGTTGCCGACAACTTTAATATCACGTTAAACCAAAAAAAAACATTAAGATTACAATTAAAAACATAGGCATCATTTTATAATCTTATGATGAACCTAGCTAGTTAACATTTAAATTGGAACGTATAATTATTGAACTTGATCGCAGTTTCTTATAAAATTAATCATAACAGGCTTACTGATGAAATTAAATTACATAAGAATATCGATAAAAATTAACTCGATCGTCGTTTGACAAATTCAGTTTACTTTCACATAAACAATATTCGGTTGATTCGTAATAAAAATATTTTCATAACCTATTCGATGAAAATATAAAATACATAATATTTTCAGAATATGATTACTCTTCCTTTTTGTCAAGACCAAAAGTCAAAACGTCCGACTCGTTGTGAACTACTTCGTCAACAGCCACACGTAATACCGATAATTATATCCATTAACCGTTTTTATTTTAATAACACCAGTGTCCCAATTATGTAACGTATTTTATTTAAATTAATGCTAAAGTAGATGCCTAGTATGCCATTATTCAGGCACCTAATAATTAGGTAACTATAATTATTATAGTTTACATTCATCAATGGCTTTTATGCGATCACATACGACCAGCCTATAAACAACTTAAAATAACAACAGCGTCTATTAACCTGTAAAATAATTATTATGTTATGAACAATACTCACTCCGGGTTGCACGGCGAAAGCATAAATATTGGCTTCATTCCACCAGCAATTACAGTTCCACAGTACAGCTAAAAAATAAAAATGAACCGTTATCATTTTGATTATAAAATTTAATTGTGTTAATATTAAATTATAACGCAATAAAGTACATAAAATTAATCGTATAAGCTATTTATTATATATATATATAGTGACGTTGACGAGACCCTCGATTGAACGAGTCGTAAGTTCTTATTATGAATAATTGAATTTTTTTATATGTACAAAACATATATATTATTATTTCATAAATATGTGGGTTTGTAAAATAATCTTAAACCTGATTTTACATTAATTGTTGAGTAGTAGCAAATTGAGTTCTAAATTCTAAAAATCAATTTCCTTAACAAGCTTCAAATACTAAACTAGTATCCCCAAAGTACAGTTTAGAAATAATGACTAAAAATTTAGAACTAGATGAAACTGCAGATATTAGATAATAATATATGTTTATCGAGTCAAACATACGGTACCTACAAGCATACCAGAAGTGCTAGTTAACACTTATTGGCATAAAACAAGAAACATGTGATTCAATATGGTAATGTTCTAAGCAGGTTTGGGTTATTTTTATAAACAATTTTGTTGTATAATGCAATTTTAAAAATCTTTGAAATTGAGCCACGGTAGCGTATAAAATACAAAGACAATTGAGGCTTAGCAAAATTACAGCCTGGACAATAAAAACTGCCAAATTCGTTGATAATTATACGGTAAAAAATGACAATGATAGATTATTGATGAAAATATTAAAGGGATTAAAGATGTTTAAAAAAAATATCAATTGTAAAAAAAAATAAGTTTCAAGGAAAGAATAATAAAAACGTTCTATTAAACTGATTCTTGGTCCGTATAAAGTGGCCTCGGCACTCAAGCATGACCCTACTTTTTACCCTTTTATTTCTATTTAGAGGCGCCTACGGTAAAACACCACGCCACTTATGATAACAAAAAAAATGTAAACAATACTCCATTGTGAATCTAATGCAATAGATATTGTAAAGTTATTATTCACTCTTCAAAATCTACGACACTAACATAAATTTATAAATACGTAAAAATTACATTTTAATTTCAAAATGGTGAAGATAAATTTTCAAACAACATCATGTTTGTTTGGTATCGTTAAGATATTACTACTTCGATGTAGACGAATAATTCAATATTGTATTTAATAAAAATCCCTTCGAATCAAATTGAAGTTAGAAAAAATTCTTCATGGAGAGTTTACTATCTGCTTTTAATTAAATTTGTCAGATAAAAGTTCTGTCAGATAAATAATTAAAAAATTATATTTTTTTTAGTTAAAATAATTATAAAATCTCTTTCATAACACTGGCTACTGTGAGATTTATTAATTCGTCTTAAATTCGATTTTAACGATGATACTTACAATCACTTATTACAGTGATTGCTTGAAAAAACTTTTTTACCGTTATCCGTTAAACGATTCGAACATAAAGCGTCATTAGCCTAATAAGCAGAAATAAATCTTAATATAGCTTGAATTGTACATGTAAGTAGCATAACAATTATATAGACCTTGGACTTAAGTTTTAATTTTCGATCCGCGTTTTGCAGATTGCAGGCGTTTCTATTGCTCAACCGAACGGTCAACAACGCAAACAGGGCAACGGTACGCGCAGTGACAATGAAATAGGTGTTTTATCAAGTGACTTTTTCGACCTCGTCGTTACATAACTGATAAAACATCCGGACGATATATCTACGCATTGTTTTTGCCATAATCAGTGTTAACGCTGACCTAGGCCGTTATTTTACTCGTGTCTATAGGACAAGTCGAACATTACACTCATTAGGAACGAAAGTAGTTATGAACACTTCAAAAATATGTTAATGTAAGAACAAAATATGTTTACTTTAATTTCGTGGTAACTAATTACTAAAAGTAATTATTAATACGTAAGCAAGTGCTGCAATCATGTACAGATCTAGTTTAGTTGTAGATTACTTTGCTCTGTTAACATTTGTTAAAACATTTTTTACCGATTTTTAATGTTACGCTTTTTACAAGACCTGTAGGCAAACGAAATGATAATCAGATTTCTACTACCAACGATTACACATTCAATACATAACAGTATTGGATATATAACACTGTTCGATACATTAAATAAACTATCTCAATCTTTACAAGTATGAAAATCGATTGAACATAACATTATTTATTTAGTGTATATTTTTGCTCGAATATGGACATAGATACATCCTTAAGCTCTTCAAGCAACAAGACAATCCATGAAAGCTTTAACCCATTTATAAGTGTATATTTATTTAATTATTCAATCAATTTGATACATTTTTACATTTTTTTTTACTTTGCAACAAAAAAAATATTTTGCAAATACAATCAACAAACACACCAAAAATCATAAATGTTTTTGAGCTAATCATTTCTAACATGATGACAACGTCGTACGCATCCATTTCGCTGGATTTAAATAGACTATTCCTGCGACTTCAAATTATTTAGAGTCGAAATTAAATTTAAGAAAATATCTATCTCAAGGTAACTTAGAAATATTACCGAGTTTTGATACATTCTTAATCCGTGACCATATGTCCAAGGGCAGACGCCACACACACGAATATAAAGTGTAGTGGCACTTTCAAAAACTAGAGAGATAATTAACGTTAAAAAACGATAAGTAAACAACATATCTCATTCTTTTGAAATACATACGAGTTGTCAATGATATAATATATAAATACATATAATATAGAAATACAATTATTCTATAAAAAGTATTTATGATAAATAAATAATTGGGCGACACCGTTTACCGTTTTATTGTGTTAATTATTTTTTTATACGACCTCGTATTGTGACCCATAATAGAATACTTCACTTTATTAAGTAATCTGTTTGTTGGAATTGAATGAACCCGATAAAATATTATTTAGCCAAAGCAAACAATATCTATTATATTGTGCAGTTTTGATCGTAATCTAGGTAATTTGTTATTAATACTCGTTTAGACTTCGAAAATATTATGAACCAAATTAAATAATTCATTTTTTAAGACCATATAATAATTATTAAAAAAAATAAAATTCCAGAGAAATGATCACGACTATTAACTTTTCATAAAAAAAAAACACTATTCAAATTTAATTCTTTGTGCATTTATTTTTAATATTGACTCTATTTCATGTTTAATTAAAAACTATTATATCAGTTAATTGATTATTAATTTAGACATAATAATAATTAAGTTCATAAAATTACGTCGTCATTATAAACTTAAGAAAATTTACAAGAAATTCCACATTTCATCAATAGAATATTTTCATAGTAGATGATGATTGATAAAAATACCAATGCCTAAAAAAAAAATAAAACGGAAACTCAAATTTCCAAATTTTAATAAAAAAAAAAAAATTTTCTCGTCAAAGTAATTTTATATTTTGAACGATATTCCAAGCTATTTGTTTCTTGTCCAGTCTCAAATGTTTACTGAGTATTGATAATACTATAAAAACCCAAAAATCTATTTTTTTTTTTTTTTTTTTTGAGATTCTGTGTTATTTTATAGCACATTTTGTCATATAATTTTTGATAAAGTCCATTTTAAATTGAACTTTGTTTATATTTCTATAGAACAATAAAAAAAAAAATCTCGTAGAAATATCAACAATTTAGTCAACTTTCAATGACAGTGGCAATGACATAAATATACTAACGACGCTTTATCGTGAGTGGCACTCGACTATTGACCGTATAAAATTTCTATCATTAATAAAACAGGCAAAAAATTGCACGTGGTTTTTCCTAGGCCACGGCCACAATATAATATAATTATAATCAAGACACGTATCAACGCGATGTGTGTGTTAATAATATTTTATTTTAGCTGTAGTGTAGAATATATAGATACTTTCTATTGTTTTTCAAAGACAAATATTTAATCGCTACGTCATTCTACCGAAGTGCAAATAAAAATTGTAAATATGCATTTGACCGCAACTGGAAATGCGCCCAAAAACAATTTGTGGATGTAAAAGAATATCAATGAATCGATTGAAACATAAAATTTAATTCTATCAATTTTATTTTTACTTTATTAAAAAATTTTAAATATTAGAAAGATTTTATATAGAACTGGTTGATTTATTTATAACTATAATGTAATTTAGAAAACTTAGTATATTATAGACGTTAAAATATTAGTTTTCATAAAAACACATATTTGAACTTGAATTGTTTTTATAAATGTGGAATTCAACATATAAATGAGTAAATCTAAAAAATATTAAAACTTTTTAATTATTTCGCACATTAAAGTCATAAAAAACTGATGGCTATTTTGAACAAAAATAAAATATCTATTGACCGAGTCGTTAATTTTAATTAGAAATTGTGGTACAATTACAATTTTAAAACAAAAACTAAATTTCAAATGACGTATTGTAATAATTTTTATCTTTAAAATTCTCACAGTGTTATAAAATTTTAACTTTGAAATAGGTATACATTGTTTTAATCTATGAACAACTTAATAGCAGCAGAGTATGATAATAGCAATAACACCTAAATGTTTAAAATAAATTCAATTCCTTGAATATCATATTTATAAATATAATATAAATAAATACCTGTTTGCTAATTCTTAATGAATGTTATGTTATTTATTCTAGTAGTATAATTTGTCTCTTGAGACAACTTTAAAGTAAATGTTCAAACTTTTGAAAGGGGAAAATTTAGCATTAGAGTTTAAATCGTCAAAAATATTATGATATATATTGTTGCGTGATCTATAATGATGATGTACCGTTGAAATCTAAGTAAAAGGTCTTTGGACTCATTATAATGAGTAATAATAATAATTATTGGTAAAGTCGTGATAAAAAAAAAATATGAAAGTCAATAGAAGAAACTAGTGAATTTCAGATGAATTTGTTTCGCACACGTCTGATTATAACTTTTATTAAACAATAAAAGCGGGCCAATCTAAACGTGTGCTTTATATACAAGGGGACCTCGTAGTCTTCCCATTGAATTCCGTTT